ATTTGGGGTTCTGCTGTTTGCTTCTAGACTCTCATTTGAAGTGATCTCGATTACTGCTGGCCATGCTTTTAGGTCATTCACAAGCACTTTTAACTAGTTTTAGGAGATACTAGAACGAAAAGATCCATTAGATAATGAACTATTGGTTCTAAGCCATCTCTGGCGATTAATCAACAATTCAAAGTGCTTTAACCAATTGGGTAGATCAAGAAAACAGCAGTAACAACTGCAGCAGGAGCTGAATATGCAATTGCAATCCAAGGTCGCATATCCAGGCGGAAATTATTGGTAATGCAGACTCTGCTCTCAGGCTGGCGGTAATGATGCATGGTAAGGTCGCTACTAACAAATGGTGGGTGCGTGGAGAATGCTATGGATTCGAGCTCCATTTCCTTCTAGACTTTTGAACACAAAAATTGCCGGTGTATGTAGTAAATGTAAACTAACCTTGGTTACACCATGGGACCGAATCCAAAACCTTTCAGTTTTTACAGACACTGAGACTGAAATATATTATTCAATTTCTATACTTCAAGGTATTTTGGAATGTTTCAATATAATGTAATAGGCAGTATTTCAAAATAGGGTTAATTACAAATTATAGCCCGAAAGATAGTTAGGGTCTAAAGTCTCAATTTGTACCCTCAAAAATAAAACTTTGTATCAATATGCNAGGGGACGAGGTTCTGAAACTACTTGATGTGGGGATCATTTTTTCAATTGCCGATAGTAAGTGGGTTAGCCCCACGCAAGTAGTACCTAAGAAATCNATCAATATGCATCCTCAAAGATAAAAAATCTCAATTTGCACACTCAAACATAGAAATTTGTATCAATGTGCACCTAAAATTAAATTGATAAATTATACCTAGATTCCCTCACATTTGTCATTTAATCATTTGAACCCCTTCACATTTAAAATATTACTCTTACATCTCATGACATTTGTGCACGTGTAACACATAACCCATTTTCGTTGATATATGTTAATATAACCGTTAAAAAAATATGATTTTATCCTAATAAAAAAAATATAATTTCATATTACCCTTTATTTTGTGGGTCCGATATATTTTAAAGTTCAAAATCAAGCTTATCATTTGAATGTCTAATAAAATGTAAATATTTATATAATATTTTTTAATATCCAATGCNGCCCGAAAGAGAACGTTCATCTAGGGGGATGGTGCCCGTTGGTACTGGATTCAGAGGATTAGTGTGCACTTGAGGCAACATTCACTTGAAAACCAAATTTTGAACGCCTATAAGCATTATCAACTAAAGATGGAGGGATAATTATATTTACATATTAATCTTCATCTTTTGGATAATGGATATCTGATAAAATACATGACCTATAAAATTAAAACATTAAGTGNGGTAAGCTTGACTTTGAACTTTAGAGTATATTAAACCCATAAAATAAAGAGTAATATAAAATTATAAATTTTTATTTTGATAAAATCATATTTTTTAACGGTTATATTAACAGATATTAACGAAAATGAGTTATGTATTACACGTGCACAAACGTCATGAGATGTAAGAATAAAATTTTAAATATGAAGGGGTCCAAATGATTAAATGACAAACATAAAGGGATCTATGTATAATTTATCAATTTAATTTTAAGTGCACATTGATACAAATTTCTATCTTTGAGGGTGTAAATTGAGATTTTTTATCTTTGAGGGTGCACATTAATACAAATTTCTATCTTTGAGGGTATAAATTGAGATTTTTGATTTTTAAGGGTACAAATTAAAATTTAAATGATCTTTTAGGATACAATTTATAATTAACCCTTCCAAATATTTCAGAACAAGTTTTTAAATTATTTTTAAAAAACCGCTGGCTTATTAGTGTTGGCCCCAATGGCAGAATGAACTGCTATTTCCTTGAGTGGGTTGGACTGGATTGGTAGAAATTGACAAATTAATGTCCTAGCCCATGGTAGACACAGGCTGCTGACTGGCAGAACACATGGGCCTTGTCTAGCTCCCACACCCTTTCATTCCTGAATGTTCTCTAACCCAAGTACCACTGTAAAACAAAGGGTTCACAAAGGTCGGTACCTCTCAAAAAATTTAATAAGATAAAAGTATATATTTTAAAATAATTGGGATAAAAATATATATACTAATAAAAAGTCATAAAAGCCCTTTTACCCCTACCATAAATAGGGCATACCTAATTAAATGTGAAACTTTTAAAAAAAATTTTGAGATTTTTGTATTATTTGAATTTTAAAATTTTATATCTATTTATATATATATATATACACACACACACGCGCGTAATACAATAACATGAAACAGTGACACGCTCAACAAAAAATAATAATATCAAACAGTGACACGCTTAACAAAGAAAGAGTAACATCAAACAGTAACACAAACATTTTTGTTGAGCGTGTCACTGTTCATGTTACTCTTTTTTTGTTGAGTGTGTCACTGTTTCATGTCATTGTATTACGTGTGTGTGTGTATATATATATATAATTTTAAAATTCAAATGATACACAAATATCAAAAAGAATCTTGAAAGTCTCACATTTTAATCTTGAAAATCTCACATTCAAGCAGGTATGCACTAGGGGTAATTATGGAATACAGTTTAGAAAGAATTTAAAAATATTTTAAAATGTATACTTATTGACAACTATTTGATGAAAAAGAGGATTTAAAGGAGGATAAGTTTGAAGGTGGTACTTAAAGCGAAATAAATTTTGAAAAAGGTACTCACATCCCATTATCTCTAAAACAAAACACAAAAGCGCTATGGCACCGCATTTTATTTTTTGGTACATGTACCGGAAAGTTAAAAAAACCCCTAAAATGTTGAAAATTTTACCTTAAAGAAATGGTAAGTATCACTCAAAGTAGCAGGTGGACTCAAAAGCTACTCGTAAATAAATTCAAAAAATGAGTGCAAGTCAAAAATTGATAAATTTCACCTATTTGTACAAATCTATAATAATAAATTAAAGTCTCATACTTGAGCTACTTAAATTTCTCACTTGGAAAAATAAAATAATGACCCAAATAGTTTAAATTCGACGATTTATATTACAATTTAGTATTTTAATTTTTCAATCACGATAATTAATTTAAATTTTAACTTTTTAGCCACAATAATTCATTTAAATATTAACCATTTAACTGTAATAACCTAAATTATATTATTTTAATATTTTAACCACAATAACTCATTTATATTTTAATTTTTTAATCTTTTAACTATAATAACTTATTTAAATTTTATTTTTAACCAGAATAATTCAACACACAGATTAAAAAAAAACGTTGGATGGCATGGTACCAGTACCAAATAAATCATCACTGCAATTTGTAGTATTACATTTACTGTACCAATCAATAACACTGAGCAAAATATGCTGAATTCATTTTCCTGCTTATTGCTTGACACTCCCGCCCACAGTAATGCAAATAACCAGTTTAACCCTAGAAATTGTTCTATCCCATAATCCACACGACCATCAACGCATGAATGGGCTCTCGGCAAGTAAAACACAAAACGTATACTAAATATACGATAAGAGACCGACATATCAATGCAATAAAGTGGTACAACGATTGCAGTGCAACAAACTAAACCAAGGCAATGCTGCTCTCACCACCTGGGGGCTTGCGGATGCCACCCAAATAGTCTTTGGATTCCACCTTTTCATCAGCAAATATATTACTGCCACTCATTTCCTTGAGCTTAGCCATGCTCAGAGGCTTTTCAGAACACCCTCGAGGAACATCGCCTTTGAAGATGTCATTGCCAGTCAGCTCAGCAAATTTCTGGTTATGTATCTTCCTTGCTGTCTTGATCACAGGCACTTCACCAAATTGGATATTGCTCTGACCTCCAGCAGGCTACAAATTCGTAATAAAGTTTAGCACAGGTTACATAGCTATGAACCAAATAACGAAGGCAGATTTCAAATATTCCCAACAAACTGTCTAGATAAAAGGAGATATAAATGGCAGGAATAGGAGACAATTTTTCTGTTATCCAAGGTGCGTCGAGGCATAATTTAGTCATACTAAAAAGTATAATATAAAAATTATTGTTATTTGAGGTCGTCAGAGAATGCTCAAGCACTACACAGATTTTGTGCTTCAGGAATTATATTGCGTTCAGGACAAAAAGGTGAACAAAAAAACTACAATTTGGGCAGAGTTTAGCAACAATTTGCTTGGGGAGAAATAAAAAAATGTGTCTACATTGTAAAAGCTATGTACATCTGGTGAAAAATTGGTCATGTGAAAAGCATGAACAATCAATCATCCATTCTCCATGAGAAGATTTGGGTCCACAAAACTTAACTGAATCAAAATTTTGCCAGATTTCTTTCAGTTCCACAGTATGTGAAAAGAAATTATAATTTTAAAGGACAGAGAAAGTGTTATTTTTTTCCCTGAAGCCTCTTGAGACATTCCATGAGACCAAGGGCCATGTCCAAGTAAGTCTATAAAATCACATTTTGTAATATATACACAAAATGAAAAAATTCTTTTGAAGTTGGCTCGATAATTCAATATTTTTCCAAACCTTCAAGAAGGTACCGGCACTAAAGTAATTATCAAAACATTCCACATCCTA